CGAGAGGGATGGAGGCTTCTGGGGCAGCCTCTAATCACCTTTACAGGTGTTCCCAAGTCAGGCATATATGCAGGCAGGATACTCTTGATAGCCTGCCGGGTTCTCTGAGAGCAAAAACTAGATAATAAGAGATCTTCCGGGAGCTTGGTTTTATAGTCTCTGGATCTTGGCTGTTGATGGGGTTTCACGGTAGTTGGTGGGTGTAACTGCCTAGCTACTGGAAGATGGGGAATCTTGGTGGAGGAGGCCCAGTCCCTAACTGAGCAGGCTTGGAGATCTCAGCCCCGGGTCCCGCACACCTGGGTTCCTTTTTTTTTTTCTTAAAAAAAAGAGCCCTGAGGTGCTCAGGTGGTCCTGGGGATTGAACCATGGCTAGCTTCACGCAAAACAAGCACCTTACCCTCTGTAAGGCCCATCCTTTTTTTTTTTTCAGGTGCTGCATCTAATAGTTGCTGGTGAGAGGACTGGGTGAAGTAGATCCAGTGATGTGTGCTGATAGCTCAAGCCCAAAGGTGTGTGATACCTAGCAGAGTTGGGGAGTGCCCCCAGGACCACAATTGACAGAATTCAGGGGACTGTCTGGTATCAGCGATCCAACTCAGGGTCATACACTAAGGCGTGACTCTACCACTTGAACTATCTCCTCAGCCACCAGACTTATGTGTTTCTTAATATTAAAAAATATTTGAGGTGCTGAAGTGATAGTATAAGCAGGTAAGTCACTTGCCTAGCACTTGGCCAACCCAGATTCAATCTCTGGCATCCCATATGATCCCCTGAGCACTGCCAGGAGTAATTCCTCAGTGTAGAGCCAGTAGTCATCCTTGAGCATTTCCAGGTGTGGCCCCCAAACCAGAATAAAAAGCTTTTTGAGCCACATGATGATCAGGGGCTATTTCTAGGTCCATGCTCAAGGGTCCCTCCTGGTGATTCTTGGGGGACCACACGATGCCAGAGACAGAACCCAGGCCTTCTGCATGCAAAGCATGTGCTCAATCTGTTGAGCTGTATCTAGCTCCAGACTTACACTTTAAACTCACTTTCAAAAAATGAAAAAATAAATAAAATTAATCCACCCTCCAGGGACTGGAGACATAGCACAGTGTACTTGCCTTGCACATACCTAACCCAGGTTTGATCCCCAGCACCACATATGGTCTCTTGAGCATTGCCAGGGGTAATTCCTAAGCACAGACCCAGAAGTGAGCCCTGAGCACAACTGGGTGTGGCCCCCAAACCAATAAATAAATCAGCCCCGCCTCTGCACCATGCCTTGGACAGTCTCTTAGCCAAATCTCAGCATCTTATTCCCCTAAATCCTTTAGTGCTCACCACAGTCAATAGATTCCCAAACATTTCCAAGGCTACACAGATTCCATGCTTTTGTCCATACTAGAGCTCCCTGGCTTAACTTTCCTTTGTTCTTGGCCTGACTGACTCTGATCCCATGAATAACTTCAGGATTCAGTTCAGGTATCACCTCCGCCAGGAAGCCCCATCTCCCCTCTTTCCCGTTTAGTCTAGATGCCCTCCTATGTTTTCCCATGACATCCTATGATTTGCTGGAACCACGGCCCTGACTGTCCTGTCATATCATTGCTTTTTGACCCATCTGACTGCCCCTCTCAGCTGTAAGACCCTGAAAAGACATCCAGCAAATGTATTTTATTTTTATTTATTTCTTTTTGGCTTTTTGGGTCACCGATGCTTAGAAGTTCCTCCTGGATCTGCACTCAGGCGGTGTTTCAGGGGACCACATGGGATCCTGGCGATTGAACCCGAGTTGGCCATGTGCAAGGCAATGCCCTCCCCACTGTACTATCACTGCGCTCCCCAGCAACTGTATTTTAAATTAACCGGACATAGGAGAATTAGTTGTGTTTGCTTGCTAGCAGTTGGATTTACTTTGTTCAAGGTAGAAGAGATTTAAATTGGTATGCTGAGAAAAAGGTCTGTGATCATTAGCAGCAAAGGGGCAGTTCATGTCAAGGTTCCTGGGGACGCAGAAGGAAGGGGGCTGAGCACAAGGAGTTGAACATGTCTTGAACACCTTTTGCTTTCTACTTCATTTTTTTTTTTTGCTTTTTTGCTTTTTTGGGGGGGGGGTCACACCCAGCGTTGCTCAGGTGTTACTCCTGGCTCATGCACTCAGGAATTACCCTTGGCGGTGCTCAGGGGACCATCTGGGATGCTGGGAATCGAACCCAGGTCGGCCACATGCAAGGCAAGGCCCCTCTACTTCATTTTTATTTGTGGGGAGGGATTCTCCTCAGTGGAGCTCAAGGACACAAGGGCCAATATATACTCCCAACAATACTCCTGGTACTGTGAGTCTGACCCCTCCTCTTTTTTTTTTTTGTGAAGCAAATAGTTTTTGTTTTTTATTGAACGAAACTTATTTAGAAAGCTGTGAGGTGTGCAGAAAGAGAGGAAGCATATGCTCCAGAGAGAACAGGAGCTTCTCCAAAGTGGAAAACACAAACAAGCAAAGATACATAGAGGCAAGCCAGCGAGATACATGTTCAAGAGAGAACAGGGGTTTGAAAAGCAAATCTGGACTTGACAATTTGGTCCAAAGATGTTAGGGACAACCAGGGTGAAGGGGAGGTTTAGACAGTGCTGGTGATCAAACTCCGGGCCTCAATTCTAGTCAATCCAGCTATCTTCTTGATCTTCAACTTTGTTCTAAACCTGACAGAGTCAAGCATAGAGTGTGGCTAGCAAGGAACTCTCAGGATTTTGCAAGTGGCGTTGTCGTTACTGAATGTCTAGCGGACACTGAATCAGCACAACTGAAGATAAGCTCTTCTTTAAATCAAGTACCGTACCGGGGTATGTTGACCTTGGCCGGTAGGTCTATCCACTGATCCATCTGAAGTTTGACCCATGGGCTCTAAAAGGACGAAGCTAGACATGCCTCTAAACTTTGGGTTCTGGGATCTCTAAACTATAGACATAGTTCTAAGGGCTAGAGTGCACACAGGAGGCCAGGGTTTGATCTGTGTCACTACATGTTTCCTGAGCTCGAATCTGGGAGTAGCTGTTGAGTACTGTTAGATGTGGTCACCAAATCAAAATAAATTTAGAAATAAAATTGGGGCTGAAAAGAAAATATAGTGGGTAAGGCGCTTGCCTTGCACTTGGCTGACCCGATCCCTGGCACCCTATGTCATCCCCCGAGCCCGCCAGGAAAGATCCCTAAAATGGAAAAAAAAATTAGAAATAAAAACTAAACAAATTCTGGGTTCTTTCCATCACATCACAGTACTCCCATTAGTACAATCAGAAATACTGACAATAAATATGATTTTCCTATTGCATTTGTTCCTGACCTTCATCCCCACCCACCAGGAGCCAAAGTTAGAGCCTATGTTCATTCTACCCTTCCTCTTGCCAGAATACAGAAATCTGGATAGTCTGTTCTCGGCTGTCAGCAGCAGGAAGCACGTGAACAGGCCAGAGAGATAGAGCAAAGGGCTGCATGTGCTTTGTGTGTGGGAGCGGAGGTTCGATCTTTGGCACAATGTGGTACAGAGCTGGGAGTAACTCTGGGCACTGCTGGGTTTGTCCCCTGAGCACTGCCAAAAAGTGACACTTAACTTTTGTTGTGCCAGGTATTGTTCTAAACCTTTGCTGGATGATTCCACTTCACTTTCACATTGTCCTCTTAAGAGTCTAGTTTTCAAATAATGAATCCCAAGCATGGCGATTCGACAGCCCAGAATTGGGACAGTGAGCAGGATTTGTACCCAAGAGGGACAAGTTCTTAACTGCTACCTTCTGCTACTGGGTGGGATACACACACACGCACCCACATGCACATGCAGTCACGCACACGTATGCACACATGCATGAACACCCACCTACACACCCACGCACACGCGTGCACACAGACACGCACGCACGCACATGCACCCCTACATGCACACACACGCACGCACACGCGCCCACACCGTGGTACTGCCTGCACACACAGCCATCCACATAGAAGAAAGGGGCGGGGAGGAGCCGGGTTCTGGCGATCGGTTCAGACACCAGGGGGCAGCAGAGGCCTAGCAGAGGCCCCCTCGGCCCTGCCCAGTTTGGGGGCGAGATGGGGAACAGAAACCTCCTTCCCCACCCCACCACTCTGCACACACCGGGTCTCTCAACTCGGGCCCGGGAAAAGAAGGCCCGTCGGGGTCCCTTGGTGCCCCCGGCGCCTTCCCCCGCAGAAGCTGCTGCGGGCGGCCGTTCACTCCACGCGAGGGTGACTCAACCGGGGCAGGTGTCGGTTCTGCGGCTGAGTTCTGGCATGTCAGTGCGTGAGTCTGCACGCATGTCTGTGTGGCTGCGCGCGCGCGCCCGCGCCCGCGTGTGCGGTGGCCAGGGAAGTAGCCGTGCTTATACATTTATTTCTGGGTGTGTCTCCGTGTTTACCCCCGAAATTGATAGGAACTCTGCCAAGGCAGCGCAGTACCGACTCAGTGAAACTTGTCGCCGGCGAGCTCGCAGGCAGAAACAGCTCTGGCCCGTCGCGCCTTCCACCCGGGTCTGCAGCGTGGACGCCCGTGTGCGGAGGGGCAGGAGCGTTTTGGTCCTCGGGACTTTCTGGAGTCTTCCAGAATTCGCAGCTTCAGGGTCCCCTCCCCCAACCCCCTCGGGACGGCGGTCACGCGACCTTCAAGGCGTTCCCCGCCGAGAAGGGAGGGGCCCCTCGGCGTTCTCCAGCTCCCCCGCCGCTTCCCAGGGCTCCGCTGGGGGGAGCGCAGAGCCCACTTGGGATTTGCTTTTCCAGAGGCCCTGGGGAGCCCCAGGGAGTTCTTCCAGCGCCCGAACCCCGAGTCCCGCTGAAAGTTTGGCTAGGAGAGACGCAGTTTGGGGCGACATGTGTCTGCTTCAATGTTAGGTGGCTTTGCGCAGAAAAGTCGGCTGCTTTCCGAGCAGGAGTGAGGGGCCTCGACCTCCCCTCCCGCCCGGCCCGCAGGGACCCTCCCCCGCCACCCCAGGCCCAGGCTGGGCTTCTCTCCGCCACCCCCACCCCCCAAGCCAGAGGCACACGCAGCTCGCCCCACTTTCTTCCTCTTCCTCCTCCAGCCCACTTTCTCTTCTCTGTGTCGTCAGAGCGCCAGGGAGGGACCTGGGTCGACGGAGAAGCCGGAAACAGCGGGCTGGGCAGCCACTGCTTGCTCCTAGAGGGAGGACGGGAGGGGACTCGGGTGTGTGCGTGCGTGTTTCTGCCCGCCTGTCTGTCCGTCCGTCCGCGGGCTGCGCTTCTGCTCCGTTTGGTGGCGGTCGCCCAGAGGGCTGCGAGCAGGCCAGCCCTGAACTCGCTGGACAGAGCGGCAGCCCCATGGGGCCCGGCAGTGCCCGCTGAGAGGGAGAAGACGCTGAGGGGTTGCCAGGTGAGGGGATGCCTCGGCGGAGGGAGGAGGGGGGCTCGGCTTGTCGGTGGGGAGCGGGGAGGATGCATGACGGGGGCGGGGGAGGGGTGTCTCAGGAACCTGCCCTTTGAGGGTGCCTGGTCGCCAGGACGGGATTGAGCCGGGCTCGGTCGCTGGGGGCAGTTTCCAGCTCCGAGGAGATCGGGGTGGGTGCAGACACTCGCACCCCGCCCCCCCGTGGGTCACTTTTTCCACACCCCCGCCCCCGCCCTTGCCCTTTAAGGAACCAGCCTGGGCGAGGCCAGGAGGGCAAGGCCTCTGCCCTCTCTGATGGTGCTGGTGGAGGGGTCGGGGATGCTTGGGGGAGCGCTGGCCGCCTCCCTCGAAAGTTGGTGCCTGGGAGCAGAGAGTTCTTTGGGAGCCCCCAGACGGTCCCCAACCCCACCCCAGGAAGGTTCCCGTTCACGGGTGCGGCTGGGGACGAGCGAGCCCCAGGTCAGACCTCATGGTGCCCTAGACGAGGGGGAATTTCCCCCTCAAAACTGCCCCACGCTTGGCCGCGGCAGACGCCGAGATTTCCCGGACGCGGGGTTAACCCTCCTCGTGCTGAACTGGCTCCGCCTCCCGCACCCCTGGCCGCCCCACCCCGCCCGCGCTCACACGCGCGCGTTGGCAACCCGAGAAGAGGCTCTTTTGACTTTTGATCCTGTGCTCTCGCGGCCAGAGGCAGGAGGGGGACTCCGAGCTCGAGGCCACGCAGCCGAGCGGGGCCGGGACGTACTGGACATCAGGCGGCCCATTCCCGGTGGGGGAGGAACTGGCCCCGCCCCCTCGCCGGTGATCCTCCCCCTCTGCCCCTCTTCTGGGAGTGCTAGGGAGGAAGGTTCCCGCCCTTGGGGTCCGAGCCATCTGTTGGGTGGGGGCCGGAGGGGGGGACAATGTGGCTTCCAGCTGTCGGCGGATGCAGTGAGGCAGGGGGTTGGGGAGACTGAGCGCCCACTCCCCACCGAAGGGCTAGAGAGGAAAGAGGCGGTGCCTGTGGCTTAGGGAGCATCCCTGTCCTTAGCGGGGTCTTAGTCTGCAAGGGTCGGAGCACCAAGAGAACAGGGGAGGAAGAGACTCAGTGGAGTCCTTATTGAGCTTGAAACACAGACACAAAGGGGCCCCACTCCGCGGGGGTGGGTGGAGAAAGGGCTATGGAAGCACCCAAACAGGAGCAGGAGGTGCTGACCTGGAGGAGACTTCTTTTCTCCACCCTTCCAGCCCTTAGGCTCTGTGTCCTTCTTTGAGGATCTTCACTCCAGGCACGTGAACCTTACTTTTCCTCACCCTTTCCTGAATTCGCTCTTCTTTTCCTCTTTGCTCTATTTCCCCTTCTTCGATTCTCCTTCCCCATTTTTCTCCTCTGGGGGTGACAGGATTTTGGATCTAGAGGAATCCTAATAGTACAGTGTGATGATTAATCCCCACTTGGATCCAGAGCCTTTTACTTTTTGTTTTGTTTTGGGGCCACACCCGGCATTGTGCTCAGCGCTTACTCCTGGCTCTGTGCCCAGGAATCACTCCTGGTGGGTCTCAAATTCAATAGTTCTATGTGGTTCTAGGATTAGAACCTGGGTCGAGATTGCATGCAAGGCAAGCACCTTATCTACTGTGCTGTCACTCCAGTCCCAAAGCTGCTTATTTCTGAACTCACTTTCAGGGTAGTGTTGGCAAGTTAAAAAGTCTCCTTAAGCTTGTGTCTATAGGAAAAGGATTGTGTGTGTGTGTGTGTGTGTGTGTGTGTGTGTGTGTGTGTGTGTTGCAAGGCACTACTGAAGCAGTGGATTTGGTGTAATGCCTCATAGATGGTAGGTGCTAAATCACGAATAGTCATTCTTTTTTTAAGAGGGAGGGCCGTGCCTGATAGTGCTCAGGGCTTAATCCTGGCTCTGTGCTCAGGGATCACTCCTGGCAGGGCTTGAAGGACCATATGGGATGCCTGGGATTGAACTCAGGTTGCCTGCGTGTTAGGCAAGACCCCTATCCGCACTTCACTCAGACCACAGCAATAATTATTTATCATCTAGCCTGATGTCTTTAAATAATTTGTGGAACCCTGGAATCTGGAGGGATTTTTCCAGGGACATTTCTGGGGTTAGAAGGTGGGGAGGGGGAGATGGAAGCAGTAGAGTTCTAGGCTTTTCACCATTATTTTTTTGCGGGGGAGGGGGACAGCCACACCTGGCAGTGCTCATGGCTGTCTTCTGGCTTAGTGGTAAGGGGTCACTTCTGGTGGGCTTGGGGGACAATATGGGATGCCAGGGATTGAACCTGGGTCGGCTGCACGCAAGGCAAGGACCCTACCTATTTTATACTATCACTGTAGCCTTGGGTATTTCACCCTCATACTTGCTTTCAACAGAGAAACCCCAGTTATATACCTTTAGTATAATAATAATAATATACCTTTAAACAACTAAAACTTGTTTGTGGCTTTAAAATCTTGGAGAGTTCTGCATTTCTCTGAGATAGATATTTTCTAGATGAGAAAATTCTGATCAGCAGAGGAAGTTTCTTTGCCAGCAGAACCTGAGCCAGGGCCTGAGCTGTGCCCACATCCTCTGCTTTCTGTCCTTCCCCATTGCCCACTGCTGTTCCCTAGCCTTCTAATCTCAGCCCAGATCTATTCCGTTCCTCCTGTGTCAGAGTGTTGGGGTCCAAGGTTGATAATCTCCCCTCTCCGAACCATACAAAGAGTCCAGCCAGTAATGCAAAACACAAGCGGAGTTTATTCAAGCCAGCTAGCTGGGGTCAAGCTCTCAGGCACGAAGGCCAAAGCAAGACGCGGAGCAAGGGAGAAGCTGCAAGTTTTATAGTCAATGCTTACATCATAGACCTGCTTACATCATAGACCATGCTTCTTTACGTACTCACGTGCACTCAGTACAAAAGAAAGCATTCATGGGGGAAAAAGGGGTACAGGAGGATATCAAGACAGCAAAAACTACACTGTTCTTGTCACGTTTGCAAGTCCAATGCTCGCAGCCTTCGAAGAGGAATCCAAGGCCAAGCAGCCTGGCAACATGAGCTAAGGCCCTTGCACCTAGAGTGATAAGGGGATGTGGGAAAATATCTACATTCCAAAGCTGAGCTGGGTTAGGGATGGTGAGAGAGGGCAGCCGAGAAAAGAGATGTTAACCCTTTCCGAACTAGTCCGGACACCCGAGTCATGGCTCGCCCATTTTCTTGGGGCCTGTGCTCCTGCCCGTTTGCGGATCAGTCTCCAAAATCTCATCCTAACAGTCTGGTTGGGCACCAACCGTGTCCAACAAGAGCTTGCTCTGTCTGTTTCTGACCAGGATGTTTTAGGCTGGAGGAGGCCGGGTTCTGAGAGTGATCATGGTCTCTGCTGCCCTCGGCCATACCCAGGCTTGCCTTGTGGGGGCTCCTCACGGTATATGTATTCCTTTGCTTCAGGTACCCTCCAAGGCCATGTCTCTGTGGGATCTGGTTTCCAAGGTGCCCCCTGAAAAATTGCAGGGGCTCTATGTCGACTTTCCCCAGCACATGCGGCATCTCCTGGGTGACTGGCTGGAGAACCAGCCCTGGTGAGTCCCCTCCTGGATCCACTTTCACCCACTCTTGTTAGATTTTCTTCACCCCCCTGTTTAGGACTTGGCACCTATTATTCCATGGGTGGGGAGGTCCTTGATTCATTAGGGACTCTGGGTCACGGATCATCCATGTTGGCATATGAAATTCCTCACTCCTTTAGGAGGCCAAGCCAAAGGGGAGGGTCATCAGGGCTGGGACTAGGGCATTTCCCATAGCAGATAGAAACGAGGGGGTGGGGTGAGAGGAACTCGAGGAGAGCTGCAAAGGGCCTGGCTGGAGTTAAGGAGGGGAATGGAGGGGGCTTGGAGCGATAGGAGAGCAAGTAGGGCATTTGCCTTGCACACCGCCGACCCAGGTTCAATTCCCAGCATCCCATATGGTCCCCCGAGCACCGCCAGGAGTAATCCCTAAGTGCATGAGCCAGGAGTAAGCTCTGTGCATGGCCGGGTGTGACCCAAAAAGTTAAAAAAAAAAAGGAGGGGATTGGAGTCTTGGAGCTGTTGGCACTGAGCTGGTGGCTCAGCCTGGCCTGAGGCTGCCGCATTCTCATCTGCCTGCAGGGAGTTCCTGGTCGGCTCTGACAGCTTCTGCTACAACATGGCCAGCGCTCTACTTTCAGCCACTGTCCAGCACCTTCAGACCTCGGCTGGAGAGCAGGGAGAGGGGAGTGCCCTCTTGCAGTACATCAGCACTCTTGAGGTGGGTGGTGGGGACCAGAAGGGAGTGAAGGCTGGGCGGGGAGGCAGTGAGGTGCTGGGAGCATCTGATTTTGGAAGAAAATTGGTGTTCTTATAGTTAGCTGTTCCTACAGTTAGGCAGCATGCAAATTCGAGCTTTAAAACATGCAAATGCATGAAAACTTCTGGAGTCTTACAGTGGAGTTGCCTTTTAGTGCTTGTGTGAGTGTGGCAGGGGAGGGGTGGGAGGATAAGAGCCAGGCTAATGCTATCCCCCTCCTTTGTGTCTCTAGAGCATATATCAGAGGGAGCCCCTGAAGCTGGTGGCCGCTTGCAAACAAATACTTCAAGGAGAGAAAAAGGCTGTTATGGAAGAGGTATTGTGACTGTCTACCGCCTATCCCTGTGACTTTAGCTTGAGCCATGAGAAATGAAAAGGAATTTGATCTTCAGGAAAAGGACAGCGTTCTGGGCCCAAGGAGGTTCCAAGGAAGGCTCCTGGGGTCTGAGAGCAGGGTCCCAAGCCAAGTTCAGAAAGTGTCGATCGAGGGATGGAGGGAAGGATGGGTCTAGGAGAAGAAAGCAAGGAATTGGGACCAGAATTTGCCAGCAGAGAGGTCTTAGTCCCCAGCAATTTCAGATGTTCTGGGAGAAATGTTATGAGGAAGGGGAGGGTGAGAGGACGACAGTGTCTGTCTCCTCATCTGCAGAGCCTGGGAGCAGGTGCCCTTTAGGGTGGGAGGCAGGGCTCAGAGGCAGCAGTATGGGGCCAAGGACATGGCTCCGTGGTGGAGCCATGGCCTTGCCTGTGTAAGGCCCTGGGTTCGAGCCTCAGCACAGTCGCAGGAAGAGAAACAAGCAAGTGTCCAACTTCTTGGCTGCAATGCCCCTGCAGTTCCGACACCTGCCGATGTCTTACCACTGGAAGCAGGAGGAACTCAAGTTTAACACCGCGCTGCAGCGTCTGCGGCACCGGGTGGGGGAATGCTGCCTTCTCCGGGAGAACCTGCAGCAGGAGGCCCGGAGCGACCCAGGTGGGAGCCGGCCCAGGGCCCTGAGAGGGCTCTGGGGAGTGTGTGGGGGTGAGTTGGTGTACATTAGCCTCGACTCAACCTTTTATCCCTCTGCATCCCTGATTTCCGTCCCCACCCTCAGTGCCCCACTCGAGAGAAAGATCCGCCAATGGGACCGGGCCACTCGAGGTGAGTAATGAACTGAAAGGTGGAGATGGTGGGCTCAGCACCCTTTCAAAAGACCTCCAAACTGTGTGTGTGCAGTGGTGGGGGGGAGTACCCTGATGTGGGAAAAGGGTTTGCCACAGTGCGATAGAGGCTCACCCTCGGGCCGTGTGGCCTGACTCACGCCCTCCCTGCCCGCAAAAGCTGGCCACCTTGCTGCAGGAGACAATTGAAGAACTGGAGGTCGCGCAGACCCTGGTGCTGAAGAGGCTTCACATTTGGAAGCGACAGCAGCAGCTGGCAGGGAATGGAGCGCCGTTTGATGAGAGCCTGGCCCCGATCCAGGAGAGGTTGGGCATCTGCTGTCCTGCTGGGGGGTGGGTGCACAGGTGTGAGACGGGGGGAGCAGGCATGAGGCTGTGGGCTGGGTAGAATTCAGAGCGGCCGGCTGTGCAGAGGGGGCCCCGGCAGGCCTGGCGGAGGGGGCATGTGTGGGAGCTCATCCACCTCATGCTTTTCTTTTCCACTTTGGTGCCCAGAGGTATAGGAAATCTTTTTCTATGTGGTCAGTTAGGTGGGCGTGGGGAGGAGGAGTGCTTTCCATTTATGCCAAAGCACCATATGTGCTAGCAGCTGACCAGGGTCCCAGAGTCCTGGAAGAGAAGCTGCTGGGTTGCCACGGGGGGTTAAGCACTGAGAAGAAATCGCCCGTCGAGCGCCAGGCCAGGGTCCTGGAAACCCTAGCCCAGAGCCTTGCAGCCACACCCCTGTCTGTTCCGCTACTCCTGTTCGCATGATCCATCTTGGGTTTAGGGGAAGGGGCTTGGGTGGGAGCAGGTAGCCCAAATCCTGTGCCCCCTGACCACTGTCCTGGCCCCAGGTGTGAGAGCCTGGTGGACATTTATTCCCAGCTGCAGCAGGAGCTGGGGGCAGCTGGTGGGGAGCTTGAGCCTAAGACCCGGGCCTCCATGATGAGCCGGCTGGATGAAGTCCTGAAAACCCTTGTCACCAGGTAAGGCCCCAGCCTGGCCTAGCACAGACCTCCAGGATGGTAGTGGTTTATTGTTGTGCAGAGGGTCGCAGGAGGGCCCTGGATACGAGTTTCTCTGATCTCTTCCCCATTCCTCCCAGTTCTTTTCTGGTAGAGAAGCAGCCCCCACAGGTTCTGAAAACTCAGACCAAATTCCAGGCCGGGGTTCGATTCCTGCTGGGCCTCCGGTTCCTGGGGACCTCGGCTAAGCTTCCGCTGGTCAGAGCTGACATGGTGACTGAGAAACAGGCCCGAGAACTCAGCCTGCCCCAGGGCTCGGGGACTGGAGCGTAAGCTGGGGCTGGATTAGGCCTGTTGGGGTGATGGAGGCCAGAGCAGCCCGAGGGGCTGACCCACACAGAGAAGGATAGTGGGGAGGGAAGGGCATAGGGTGTGGGAAACCTTCCTGGCCACGGGGGAGGGGGATGAGGGCCTCATTAGAATGTCCTGGGCTGGGAAGAGTCCTGATTGGGCCAAAATGGGCACTGTCCCCTTTCTCCTAAGAACCTAAAGAGAGATGTAGATTCAGGGCCAGCAGCCCGCCATTCCCTGTAGAGCCCCAGAGAGCCCCCATACCCGCCAGCCCTGGCATGCGCTGGTTCATGCTTTCCCTCGCCCGGCAGAGAAAGCACAGGCGAGATCATCAACAACACCGTGCCGCTGGAGAACAGTGTTCCTGGGAGCTGCTGCTCCGCCCTCTTCAAGAACCTGGTGAGGGGCCCAAGCAGCGAGCAGTGGCCCCTGGGCTATGCGGGCTTGGCGAGGTGCTGGGGCCACAGGAGAAGCGGTGGCTGTCCTCACACGCTCTCCCTGTCCTTCCCCGCAGCTTCTGAAGAAGATCAAGCGGTGTGAGCGGAAAGGCACCGAGTCGGTCACCGAGGAGAAATGTGCTGTGCTCTTCTCCACCAGCTTCACGCTGGGCCCCAACAAACTCCCTATCCAGCTGCAGGTGAACAGGCTGCCCGGCCCCACCAGGTCCCATGTCCCCCTTGGCGCCATACATGGCACCTGAATCCTCGTTCCTCCTCACAGCCCCATGTACATAGGTGGTGTGTGTGGGTCTCCTTCACAAGCACCTGTGGAGCAGAGTACTGGGAATGGGCCTGAGTATGAGCACCCATTGTTTCTTTTTTTTAGAGACCAGAGTACTACAAAAACATTATGAGGCAGAGGCCCGAGAGTACAGTGGGTAGGGCGCTTGTCTTTCATGCTGCTGGCCTGGGTTTGATCCCTGGCACCAACCAGCACATGGTCCCCCCGGCCCGCTAGAAGTGATTCCTCAGCATAGAGCCAGAAGCAAGTCCCTAGTGCAGTGCTATTGCTTCCTGTTGTGGCCCCCAGTCAAACAATATCAGGTAGATACTATTACTAGCCTCTTTTTTTTTTAAATTTAAATTTTGGGACACTCTTGGCATTGCTTAGAAGTCATTCTTGGTGGTACTGGGCAATCAAGCGTGGGGGACCAAACCAGGGCCAGCCATGTGAAAGCAAGTGCCTTTCCCCCTCTACTGTGTCTCCGACCCTGCTAGCCTCATTTTGCATATGAGAACACTGCAACACAACTTAAATAATTTGCCCAAGTCAAACAGCTGCTAAAGAATTGGAGCTGGTGTTTGAAACATGGATGTCTGGCATCACGGTGACCACTTTTCCTAACGGGGCTTCAGAAAGTATTTGAGGGGCCGGAGCGATAGTATAGCAGGTACGGCATTTGTAGCTGACCCAGGTTCGATCCCTGATACCCCATGTGGTCCCCTGAGCACCTCCAGGAATAATTCCTGAGTGTAAAACCAGGAGATGTGGGGCTGGAGCGATAGCACAGCGGGTAGGGTGTTTGCCTTGATGCGGCCAATGGGTTCGATTCCCAGCATCCCATGTGGTTCCCCCGAGCACCTCCAGGAGTCATTCCTGAGTGAAGAGCCAGGAGTAGCCCCTGTGCATCACTGGGTGTGATTCCCCCCTAAAAAAAAAAAACACAAAAAAAAACAGGAGATGTGCTGCAGAACCAGCTCAGAGCCAGGAGCAATCCCTGAAGTTTGCCAGGTGTGACCCAAAAAGAAAAAAAAAAAATTTGATAGCATGAACTTTTTTTGGTGGGGGGGTTTACCTAGCAGTGCTCAGGGTTTAGTCCTGCCTCTGAGCTTTGAGGTTGCTCCTGGCAGGGCTCTTGGGGGACTATATGGAATGCCAGGGATCAAACTTGGGTCAGCCATAAGCAAGGCAAGCACTCTACCTCCTGTATTCTCACTCCAGCCCCTTGTCTTATGAACTTTTAACTCTGTCCTGGGGGTTCAATAACTTCCTTGCATCATTGGAGGCCCCTGAAGCAACTCTTCAGCTCAATAAGAAGAGCCCCTTCTTGCCCTCCACAGGCCCTGTCGCTGCCCCTGGTGGTCATTGTCCACGGCAACCAAGACAACAATGCCAAAGCCACCATCTTGTGGGACAATGCCTTCTCGGAGATGGTAAGGAAAGATCTGATCTGTGGGAGAGGGGAAAAGACAAGGTCAGCATGAACTTGAACACAGGGCTGTGGGTCAGTGAGGTGGCAGGTAAGCTCAAATGAGAATGATCTTAATTCCTTCTCATGAACCTGTCTGTATACTTCTTACCTCTTTTTTTTTTTTAAAAGCTTGGCGGATTTTATTTATTTATTTATTTTTGCTTTTTGGGTCATACTCAGTGATGCTCGGGGGTCACTCCTGGCTCTGCACTCAGGAATCCCTCCTGGCGGTGCTGGGAGACCATATGGGATGCCAGGGGATCGAACCCTGGTTGACCGCATGTAAGGCAAACGCCCTACCCGCTGTACTATCGCTCCAGCCCCTCACCTCTTTTGTAGAACAGGCTTAACTATCATGTAGCACTCAAAATTACTGTGGCAAAGCACCATCTTTGTGAACCAGCTCGAGGGACTGCTGAAGTTGGGGAGGCGGTCAGGGGAAGGTACACACGTGAGGCCCACCTGAGGGAAAAGAGGGATGATGACTGAGGCAGTTTCTTCTCCTTTCCTCATCCCCTCAGGATCGTGTGCCCTTTGTGGTATCAGAGCGGGTGCCCTGGGAGAAGATGTGTGAAACTCTGAACCTCAAGTTCATGGCTGAGGTGGGGACCAGCCAGGGGCTGCTTCCAGACCACTTCCTCTTTCTGGCTCAGAAGATCTTCAATGACAACAGCCTCAGCACAGAGGCCTTCCAGCACCGTTCAGTGTCCTGGTCACAGTTCAATAAGGTCATTCCCCTCCCCTTCAGCCTGCCATGGCCAAGCTCTTCATCCCCACGTTGTTTGGGAACTCCCCACTTTTTGGCCAAGGGTGGCCTCTTGGATGTTCACAATTTTCCCTCACCACGAAGACCTCCATCATCGACCCAGGCAGGAAGGTGCCTTGGCCTCTGGGGTCAGCTCATAAGCTGTGCTCTCTGGCAACCCTCTGGTTCTCTGGCCCTCCCTCCTCCTGACCAATCATTTGCATGACTCATTTAGATTGTGTGTAAACACGACTTGGATTCAAAATGACTTTGACCCATTGGGAAAATAGTTCCTGTTGCAACCAATGGGCATGCAATACCTCAGAGACACAGATAGCAAATACCAGCTCACTTGATGCCAGGCACTGTGCCCAGCCCTCAAGTATTTCATCTTGATTAACCCTCCCCATGTTCCTATGAGGTAGGTACTACTGTCAACCCTGTTTCACAGATCAGGAACTCGATGTTCACAGGGGCTAAATAGTTTGTTCAAGGCCTCACAGAAGGTGAGTGACATGGCTGGGATGGCCCCTTATGTTTCTAACTCTTGCGTCCAGTTACCATAGCTGACTGCCTCTGGGGCCAGAGAGATTGGCTCATTGGGCTGATTGCAGGCTTTGCATGCAGGACGCCCTGGTTCAGTCCCAGCACCACATACTCGAGAATCACTGGGAAAAATCCCCAAAAACAGAGTCAGGAGTAGCTCCTGTGCACCAGTGGAGATAGCCAAACCCCCTTCAACCCAACCCAAATTTTACTGCTTCTTAAGAAAGGTGTGACTCAGGACTGGTCTATTACAAGAACGGGGAAAAAAGACAGAGAAATAGTACAGGGGTGTTTGCTTTGCAATGTGATTAATCCTACTTCAATCCTCAGCACTGCATGGTCTTCCTAGTATTGTGGGGTGCAGTTCTAGAGTCCCCCTGAGCACTGCTGAGTGTGGTCTGGGAAATCCCTAGCACCCCAAGACTTGAGCGATATTGAATCCACAGGCTCATGTACTGACCCATTTGACCTAGTGGCTTGCCTAGACCTCGTGGGTCCCCTACCCAAAAAAAGGAGTGGAGAGAAAAAGGAAAAAAGATCTCACTATCTTGGTTGAGACCAGATCAGTTGGATGAACACAGCCATGTGCTGCTGTCTTAGAGATAAGACGGGCCAGAGAAGTAGCTCAAGGGGCTGAGAACATGCTTTTGGGTTTGATCCCTGACACAGCACTGTCTCCCAGCACCACCAGGAGCAGTGCCTGAACCCTGTGCTGGAGTAACTCCTGAGTACTTCCGGGTGTTATAGTCCCCTGGAAATACAAACACGAAATAAAAAATAGGGGCTGAAGTGATAGTGCAATGGGTAAGGCCATTGCATTGCATGCAGATGACTCCAGTTCAATTCCTAGCACCGCATACTATCCCCCTGAGCACCAGGAGTGATCCTGAGCACAGAGACAGGAGTAACCCCTGAGCACAGCGAGTTGTGTCCCCAAAACAAAGAAAAGCCCGTATTTCCAGAGGATGTTTTAGTAATGGGGTATAGTCTATGCACCACACTTCCAGGTCTCATTATAATTGTGCAGAGCAGTGATTATGAGCCCACACCCCCACTGGTTCAGGCCTGAACAAATTAATATGGTTTTGCTGTTCCTCCATCTTTAAGGAGGGAGAGTTCTAGGACCTACCTCCTTGAGCTTGAGGGATGATACTAGTTCTAATAAAGGGAAGGGCTCAGAATAGGGCCTGGCTCACTCCTCCAAAGAAAGCCACTGCTGTGGTCTCATATCCAGATTGGCCCCTGAGGCCTGTGCCTCCAAGGCATTCACAGCCTGTCCTACCCAGGCTCCAGTTCTGGCCCTGCCCTGCTCACACCTCTTCCCCTTCTGACAGGAGATCCTGCTGGGTCGTGGCTTCACCTTTTGGCAATGGTTCGATGGTGTGCTAGACCTCACCAAACGCTGTCTCCGGAGCTACTGGTCCGATCGGTGAGTTCCTGCCCCAGGAGACCAGAGTACTTGTATCTCCAGCCCCCTTTTCATACTCAGCCCCTCACCCCTCACCATCCTCTCCTTCCTCCTCCCAGGCTCATCATCGGCTTCATCAGCAAACAGTACGTCACTAACCTTCTTCTCAACCAGCCAGATGGAACCTTCCTCCTTCGCTTCAGTGACTCAGAGATCGGTGGCATCACCATTGCCCATGTCATCCGGGGTCAGGATGGTGAGGCCACCCCCGCCTATACAATGTCTCTGCGCCTCTGCCCTCTGGGGTTGCTCCTGGGAAAGAAACGCCCCTGACGCCAACCCTGAGTTTCAGGAAGTTTTTCCTTGGGTCCATTGTCTTCACTCTGTGTCCAGATCCTTCTTATGTGAGCTCTGTGAGAGTAGACCACCCCCCCCCACCCCCCACCCCGCCCCCAGGAGCCGCCACTTGGAATCCTCCCCTAGCCCTTGGTGGATGATGAATGACTCCTGGGGGAGGTGGTGGGGAAGGAGAGGAAAGCCTGGCGAGGCGGCTCAGGGCCTCCCTTCTCTCGCAGGTTCCTCACAGATCGAGAACATTCAGCCTTTTTCTGCCAAAGACCTGTCCATTCGCTCCCTGGGGGACCGGATTCGGGATCTTGTCCAGCTCAAAAACCTCTACCCCAACAAACCCAAGGATGAGGCTTTCCGGAGCCACTACAAGCGTGAGCTGAAGCTGGCGGTCCTGATTCCCTGCTGCCCGCTCTCCTGCTCCCAGCTGCCTCACTCCTGGCCCCTCGAATGTCAACCCTGACCCCCTACTTTTCTGAGTCCCGTCTCTAGCAGCCATGCCCACCCATTCCCATTGTGTCCTCCCTGACCCTGGAACATAGCCTCCCTCTCCTTTCCACAGTTGAGCAGATGGGGAAGGATGGCAGGGGCTATGTCCCGGCCACCATCAAGATGACAGTGGAAAGGTGAGGATAGGAGTGGTTACGGGTGGTGCCAGGACAACCTGAAGGGAGGGGCCTGTCCCCTCAGTCAGTCACAGGACCCTTCCTTCCTGCAGCATGGACCAGCCCCTTCCCACCTCGGAGCCCCAAATACCTCCCAGAGGACCCTCTTATGGTCATGGAATGAACCCCAACTCCTCTTTGAGCCGCTGCTCAGAAATGTAAGACACTTGAGGGATGGTAACGGGGAAGCTGGGAGAGCTGGGCTGAAGCAGGGGATTTTCCCACGAAAGGACTGCCCTCGCCTGCACATCAGGAGGGGCACCCAGGGAAAAGACTGCCATCTGGGATCTGCTTTCTTTCCCCAGGTCCACGGTGTTCCCTTCACACCCTCACCCCCACTCCTATCCAGAACCTGTGCTGCAAAACTTCTCAAAGTAAGGGAAAGGACCTGGGGGGGGGGGGCTCAGGGGAGACCACCTGCAAGGGCGATGGGTATTTACATTGGTGGGAAACACTTCTGCGAGAGAGGCAGGCAATATGCTACTATCCTTTCCTTGTCTCCTCTCTTTTCCCCACTCAAGCTGGAGTGCTGAAAAGCCAGACTTCCTTGGCACCGAGAGATAGTATAGGGCTTAAGTGCGTCGCCGAACCTGGTTCCAATTCTGGTACCATATAGGTCCCCCGAGTCCCTACAGTACTGATTCCTGAGCACAGAGTCAGGAGTAATCCCTGAGCACCATCAGATGTGGTCTAAAACACTCCTCTTCCAGAAAAAAAAAAGTCCAAGCTCCCTGGGTCTGAATTCCAGCTCTTCCACACACTGACTTTGGCAAGCTACTTAACTCTACTGCTCATCTGTAAAATGGGAATAATTATAAAACTACTTGGCTCAGAAGTAAAGATTTGCCTTGTAAGTGGGAGACTCAGGTTCCAATCCGACTTTTTTTCTTTTTGGGGTCACACCCGGCGATGCACAGGGGTTACTCCTGACTCTGCACTCAGGAATTACCCCTAGCGATGCTCAGGGGACCATATGGGATGCTGGGAATCGAACTCAGTTCGGATCTATGTGCAAGGCAAACGCCCTACTAGCTGTGCTATCAATCCAGCCCCGCGATCCTGACATTTTATGGTTCCCCAAGAACCGAACCAGGAGTAGCTCTTGAGCACCACCAGGTGTGGTCCAGAAACCAAAAAATAAAATAAAATAAAATAAAAACACTAACAGCACCTTCCTCATGGAATAATTGTGGTTAAATGAGTTGACAAAATGAGCATCATAGTCAAGGTGAGCATCATACCTGGGGTCCTCTCTTTTCCCCACTTGTCTCCTCTCAAACAAAAATATTTTGTTTGGGGGCCACATCTAGCAGTGCTTGGGGGTTACACTCAGTAAGTTCTTGGGAGTTACTTCCAGCAGTGCTTGGTATGACTAAGAGGGGCCAAGAATCAAACCCAGGGCTGTTTGGGCCTTCAGAGCCTGCACTCAGCCCACGGAGCTCTCTCAGTCCCTGACACCTGTTTGACAGGAGAAGCCTGAGCTCCCAGAGCAGAGAGAAATGGCTTGCCTGGGCCTATGCTGATAGAGCAGCTGAGTCTGGGAAAAGGAACCTGAAATTCTTGTTCCTCACTCAAGTGTTCCTGAACGCGCAACCCTCTGTGCAGGCCCAGCCTTCCCTGCCCTTAACAGTGCTCTCTGTCCTGTCTCTAGCAGTAACCTGCACATGTCCTCCAGCATGGGCCAGCAGATCATGACTTTTGACCACCCGTGAGTGATGACCCCTGCCCTCCCCCATTCATTACTAGCTCCCCAGCTGCATTCCCGGTGTCTCATCTCATCTCTCTGATCCAGCAGGGGGCTGCTGCCCTGCCAGCCTCAGGAGCATGCGGTACCCAGCACTGACCACCTGGATGTGACCATGGCAGAGAGCTGCCTGAGTGAGCAGGTGACAGGATTCCCTCATGGCACCTGGTGAGTGGCAGCCTGGGGTAGTGGCGTAGGGGCAGCAGCTGGAGGTATGGGCGCTGTACCTACCCCCAGTGCTTCTCCCTTTCTTCTTTGCAGGGTCGGGGAAGACATGTTCCCGCCCTTGCTCCCTCCCACGGATCAGGATCTCACCAAGCTACTGGAGGGGCAAGGAGAGTCCGCAGCCCACCCTGTCCTGCAGGCCCCCTCCTACATGCAGTCTGGGATCCCCATGTCCCACATGGACCTAAGGGCCAACCCTAGTTGGTGAGCCAGAGCTGGAGGGGGAACCCAGCGAGACAGCTCCCACACCGCCACGGACCTGATCTGGACCACCCACCGGCCCCCACTCTGGCCTAGAAGCCCCGGAGGCTTTTGTCCTATCCCCACCTACTCCTTGGTCAGGAGGAAAGACCATTGGCGGGAGACTTGCAGTGGGCGGAGCCTAACCGCTCCTTCCCTCCTACCACACACCCCTGCCCTCCCACATTCAGTCCTGGAAAAGGAATTCCGGCTCCGAAAGTGAGACACGTTCCAGCATGCCTGCACACACAAACACACACGTGTGAAAACACGTGCCTGCGCGCGCGCACACATACACTCTCCCTCCCTGTAAGAATGGGGCTGAAAGGAAGAGGCTGGGCCGAGGCGCAGGCTTCTCGACTGCCCAGAGCCCAGCATTCCCAGGCAGCAGCATGCAGCCTCGTGCACATATTGCCCGAGAGACTGGGGACAGACAGCGTGCACGGGCTTGGAAAGCAGTTCAGAGACTTTGGGCACCGAGAGAAACAAGGGATCTCGACATAGTTACTGATGTGGGTTTTGCCCAGATTAAAAACGTATTCCGGAGAGTCCCCAGTTCCTGTCCACCAGATGGAGGCATTCAGTTCTGCATGAGTGCGGGAGCACAGACTCCCTGTGTGTGTGTGTAGCCAGAAGGATGTCACACCGTGTCTTGTGAGCAACACCACCACCCATCTAGTGTTGCCCGGATGACAAAATAATGTTGGGGAGCTGCCTCAGAGCCCAGTGTGCTGATGGCCTCAGTGATGCATGGATGTCAGCCCCGGGTCTTCAGTTTCAACGGTCCCACAGGCCTCTACAGCAGCTGCGACATCTACAAAGGGCTGGAGCTTCGTGCCTTGGAACTGCCGCTCTTTCCTGGAGAGAGGGATCACAGTCTGGTGCTCAGCTGTGCTCCACTCGGTGTATTAGAGGGCCCTACCCTCTGCTGCTTGTTTGCTCCCTCACTGACAGCTGCCCTTCACTCCCCATCCCGTGCCACCCTTCCTTCCTTTTGCGGGGAGAGGGTCATAGATCCTAAGCCATAAAATAAATTTTATTCCAAAATAACAAAATAAATAATCTACTGTACACAATCTGAAAAGAAAGATGCTCTAACTGCTCAGAGAGGGGCTGCGGCCCAGACCCCAGCTGAGGGAGACCCTGAGTCCAATCGAGGCCTCCAGAGGGGACCGGTGAAGGGGGACCCCCGTTCCTCCTCCTCCCGGAGAGGGCAAGAGGAAGAGTTGCTGAGGACTTGGGAGAGAGATGGGGGTGGGTGGGTAGACTGCAGCACTTGTTAAATTAAAGAGACAAACTAGAAGCACAAAAATGGGGGTGCAAAGGGGAGGAGGTACAGGTCCAGTGTTCCTAGGCCCCCGGTTCTTGGGGAGAATGTTTCCATTTTTAGCTGCTGGACCTTCCCAGGGAAGTCCCCCTGTCCCCCATGTCCAAACTATGTCCAACTGCATCAAACTAGTCCACTGGTTCAAGCTAGAGTGGGAGTGTGTTGGTTAAGGGAGGGGGAACCCCAAATGCTCTGGCGGCAGTTCTTGCCCCCTTGCTCTGGGCGCCGCTGAGGGGCACCACGCACCCTCCTTGCGTCCTCTTGCAGGCCCCTGCTGGTTATTGCTTGAAGCCCCATAGTTCCGTGTCCATGGAGCTGGTGGGGAGGCAGACGGGCAGCGGAAGGGTCCAGGGCTGCGAGCTGATCCAGAGTGCAGGGTCTGTGAGCGCCCCAAGTCCAAGGTGCCGGGAGTGGGGGCACCAGCGTCCCCCTTACTGCCGGCTGGCCTCTGCCTCCACCTTCACGCTGCTCCTCCGACCTTCCACCAGCGCGGGAAGGGGTGCCGGGGCCGGGCACCGGTCCAGCAGTCCTTCCTCGAACTCTGCGGGGAGAAGGGGAAGGGATGGGTCACGGGGGTGCGTGTGTAGGAGGGTGGGGGCGCGGGGGGGGGGGCGGCTGCAGAGACACGGTGGGGAGCCAGAGGCCGGTGAAGAAGAGCTCGCTGAATTCCTGCCTGCCATCCATCGCGTGTCTACCCCGGCCCGGGTGCGGGCACCCCCTCCCCTTTCTGGCTGTGTGTAGCTCTCTGTCTCTGTGTGTGTCTCTCTTTCTCTGTCTCTCCCGCCTCCGCTCCGCTGGAATTTCTGGTTCTGTCAGGAGCTGTGGGGGCGGCTTGGCTCTGACCTCTCCCCCTCCCCCCCTTGCCAGGCTCCGCCGCCCCCACCCATCCCTGGCCCCCTCCCAGGCCCCGCCCACCCTGCCTCGCGCCCCCCCCCAAGTTCTTAGAAGCCAAATCAGGGGGAACACAGGAAGCCAGCCTCCCAGCTCCACCCCCAAAAAGAGCCCCTCTTCTAGTCCCCGCCCCCACTTCCCACCCACACACAGTTTAAAAATACCAAGCCAGGGTTGGTGGCTTTGTCTGCTGCGTCACTCTCAGCCCAGCCGCTGCCCGGCCCTCCACTGGCCTGCTCCCTGCCCCCCACCCCAGCCACACACACAGCACCCACCCCTTGGGCTCCTCCACTCCCAACACCACCCAGCCACCCCGACTTCGAGCCTGCCCCACCCTCCTGCTACCTAAGGAGCTGACAGCTACGACCCTCCGACCCTCCTTCACGTGCTCTGGCACCCTGCTTCCCATTCCTGTTCCTTAGGGTCACACCCCCGGGGGGAGGGGCCCTTTGGGGTCCTCTCGGCAGTCCAGCGGCTGCAGCCCAACCATCCTCCTGCCCTCTCGGGTGGCCCCATCCCTCTTCCTCCCGCCTGGCCCCAGGACACCAGAACTGCCACGTCTGCGTGGGGCCTTGGGGCAGGGCTGCTTGGGGACAGCGCTGCCGGCTGCCTCACCTGCGAGAGGCGGCTTCGCAGGCACACAGGGGCTGAGGCGGCCCACGCGGTCGTGGGAGACGAGGCGGGCGAGCCGCAGCCCCTCATCCATCAGTGTCTGCTGCAGGATGTGGCGGCTCCACAGCCCATGGGCTGGCAATGCCAGCGGCAGGTCAGCAGGGGGCGGCGTCAGCCTTGGGCATGACCCCACAGCTGTGGGCATGGGCACGGGTCAGGTGAGGGGCTAAAAGTCCCCGGACCCCCCACCCTCAAGCGCACAGCCGGACCCAGCAGCCCAAGCCCTTCGCCCTTGCCGGCCAAGACCGCCCAGCCCCCTTCCAGGCCGACGCCCCTCCTCCCTCCTACTCTACTCCGCCCCCTCCGGCCCCCCAGTGCGGTGGAGCGGGCTCAGGCACACTCACCCTGCAAGTGGCCGTCCAAGCTCTCCCCTGACAGGCTGGCACTGTCCTCCTCCAAGCTGGGGCGGTATGGGGGTGCATAGGACTCCGCGCCAGTGGGAGGCTGCTGGATTTCAGAGTGACTCTGTTCTCCAACCTGTGGATATCCCAGAGGGGAAATGAGGACTTGTCGGGCCCAGTGGGGGAAGGCTGCCCCAGGGGCTTCTAGATATCTGGAAAACCTACCTCCTGTTTCAGCTTTTTCAGCGGGGGGCCTCCCAGTTCTTCAGGGTGGAGCCTGCAAAGATGGAGCGGGATAAGGAGGAAGAGGTCGGGAAGGGGGCACTACGTAGCTGGCACAGAGCCTAGGGAGGGGCGCGTGTGCTGTTTGGAGATTGGGGTGTGCTGTGAAGCAGCAGTCCCTCACACATGCATTCTGGTTGTGTGTGTGTGGGGGGGCAGAGATGGGTGGGAGGAGTTGCCAAACTTTATGACTTGGCCAAATGGTGGGGCTATGCCAGCAGAAGGAAAGCAGCCCCAAAGCCCCCAGCCCTGCAGGCGCGGCCCTGAGTCAGCTCCAGGGCAGAAAGAGAAGGGCTGGAGAAATCGGTCTCACCTGGAACCCTTCAAGGACGACAGGTAGGTGCTCTCCCGGGCGACCTGGCGCGAGAGAGAGAAGAGCTCCACTCTCCGCAGTAACAGTGTGTTGTCCCTCATGCAGAACTGGGCTGCGGCCTCATTGATGGTCAGCTGTGGAGAAGGCCCCCAGAGCATCAGCATCCTGACTCCCCTGCTGCCTTGCCCAGGCCGCCCCACATCCCTCCACCCTCAACTAAAATCTGCCATCAGAGCTTACTTGGCTGATGACACTACCTGAGCCGTTTTCCCCCTTTGTTTTAGGGCCACAGCTGGCAGTGCTCAGAGCTCATTCTTGGCTCTGCACTCAGGGATCACTCCCGACAGGCTCAGGGGACTTTATGGGGTGCCAGGGATCAAACCTGGGTAGACTGCATGCCAGGCAAACACCCTACCTACTGTACTATCACTCTGTGCCCAACCCTGAGGTTTCTGAGGTGGGAGACAGATCAGCACCCCTTCTTCCTAGGAGTGCCTAGGCTACTTCGACTTTCTGGGGTCCCCAGTGGCATACATTGGGACACCTGGATTTCACCGCGCTTCTTTACTTGGTCGAAGAGGGGGACGCTGCAACAGGGATGGGGTCTGAGCCAGGGGTCCTGGTCCCATGGGGCCCTCACCTCGTGCAAGCTCAGCTGCTTTCCCTCCCGCCGTTTAGAGTCGAAGCGGCCGTAGATGATGCTGTATTTGCGGATCTCCTCCTCCTTCTGACTGTCATTATCGTCCATCTCAAAGATGTGCCCCACACTCCGAGCCAACTTCTTGTTCAGTTTCAACAGGGAGGTCACCTCTCCAGCATCCCCCCTCGGGAAGCTCCGGAAGATCCTCTCCACACTCTCCACCACCATGCGCACCATGTCAGGCTCCAGGCGATCAGGGCCACCCCCAGCTCCACCAGTGGCCAGCCCACCAGCCCCAGTCCCCTCAGGGACCCCTCCCCCTGCAGGTGGGGAGAAGGGGGGCGAGCCGGCCTCCTCTTCTCCTCCCGCCCCAACATCAGACTCTGGAGTGCTCCTGCCTGGCCAGATCCGAGGGTCCCCTGCCCCAGGTCCCCCGGGCAACGGTGACAGTTTCTCTCCAAGTTCAAGGGGGCTCTTGGGACTAAAACTGCGGGCACTGCCCGCCTTTTCCCCTGGGCTGCCGTGCCCATTGCTCATGCTCCCCTTGCGGGTGCCCGCAGTCTCAGAGATCTTGAAGAGTGGGATGCTGGAGACCGGCACGGCAGGTACCGGCTGGCTGAAGAGCCCCGGGTTGGTGGCCCACTCTCTCAGGGCCTTCTGGAGGCGCCGCACATGGAGGGGCTTGGTGGCCATGCCCACGAGTGCCATGATCTCCAGGAACTCCTCCTCACCCGCCTCGCACAGCTGCTGCACGTCGTCCCCTCCCTGCTGGATGAAGGTCTCATAGTAGGAAAGGAGGTTGGCGCGCTGCAGGACCCGGTACAGCTGCAGCTCCCCCAGTGTCCGAGGCAGTGCCATGGCTCGGGCACTGGGCCTGAAAAGGAGGCGCAGGAGAGAGAGGAGGGGGCATCAGTGCAAGCCCCCTGCGGAGTACCAACCCACACAGCAGTTCTCGTTCCTGCCAGCATCTAGGCCCCCTGCCCAGATCTGAGCACTGCCTCTGGGTATCGCCTGAGACCTGGCAGTGCCACCCCTGACTGGCCCCGGGGCAGCCAGTCACTGCCCTTAGCTCTTTGGGGGCAAGTGGACATTGAGCACTGTGGCCGGCTCACAGCCCTGGGAGAACAGGCCCTGCCCCTACTCGGAGTATGGTCTGCACCTTCCAACCCAAATCCCACTCCCCCGCCCCCGATGGCATCCGGAGCCAGGCTCCCACAGTGGACGGGCTAGCCTCACTCTTTGCTGGCATCCTGCCCGGGTGGCTAAGGGAGGGGTGTGGCGCTTTCCCAGCTGGTCCCGCTCAGAGAGCCAGCGGGAGGCCCCTGGCCCTCTCTCCCCTCAGTTTCCCCTTTGTTAGGCAGTCTTTGCACACTCTGCCCCCATCCCTAGATGCTCCCCTCTCTTCCAGACTGTCCAGGGCCCCTCTCCCCACAGCAAACTTCCCCCACCTGCCAGGGAGGTAGGCCCATCCCTTCAGCTCAGACACGAAGAGGCGAGGTGCCTCAATTGTTCTGCTCGGGGGCCTGTTCCGCCCCCACAGACTCCCACAGTGGAAGAGTCTGTGGGCGAAAAGCGCCCGGGGGCTCCCGCCTACACGCCTTTCCCTCATTTTCCACCCACATCTTCAGGTGGAGTGGGGGAGCGGCTGCACGCAGTCCCTCCCCGCTGCGAACAGGGGTCCAGAACCGGGAAGGGCCATTGGGGCAGGTCCAGCTTCACAGTCCACCGATGCTCGCTGGGCTCAAAACCCGTGCCCAGTGCCAGCGCCGAGCTGAGCCCGCTCAGCGCCCCCCCCCCCGCCTTCCATTGTTGCCAGCCAGAACTCCAGGGCTTCCCTGGCTCCTAGGGGCCCCCCACATTCTTTACAGAGGGTTCACATGCCAGGTCATGCCCAGAGTCAGTGGGGCCGGAGAGCCAGGCACTGCTCTCCCACAGCCAGCTCCATCAGCTCCCCGCCTGCTCCCAAGGCCCCCTAACTCCAAGACGCACCCCCTTTTCCAGCAGTCTCCACCCCCCACCCCCGTTCCGCTCCCCTCGTCCTCTCCTCGACCTCCGCCCTCCGGACCCCTCTCCGAGTCCGGCTCCACCCCTCTCCAATCCCCGCCGCTTCCCGGTCGCCACTCACTTGGCTCGGGGCTGCGGGGTCCGGCGGGCGCTGTCACCTCCGCCCGGCGGCTGCTCGGCGGCGGGGGAGGGCGCTCTGTGCATGGACGGCCGGAGGACCCCGCGGCGCCCCTGCGGTGCTCGGCGCTCGGCGCCCGCTGCGCGCTGCGCCCTGGCCGGCGCGCGAGGCCGTGTCCGCCGCGGCCGGGCTCCGTCCCTCCCTCCGCGGCTCCTCTCCGCGAGCCTCGGCGCCGCTGTCTGTGCTCTGCCCCCCTCCCTGCCTCCCCGGTTGCGCTCGCCGCCTCTCCGCGCCTCCGCCCCCGCAGGACGCACGGGGAGCGAGGCCCGGCGCGGCGCTGGCTGCCGGGCGGGAGGAGGGCGTGGGCAGGGCCGGGGGCGGGGGCCGGGGGCGGGGGGCGGGAGCCCGGGCGGCGGGACCGGCCGCCGCGACGCCGCGGCGGAGACGCCGGGGGAGGCGGAGACGGGGGAGGGGGCGTGGAGCAGGAGGCGGGGGCGGGCGCTCGCCGCCCGGGCGCCGAGCTGCCGCGCTGGGCACCGAGGTGACCGGGGCCGGGAGGTGGAGGGCGGGCTCGGGCCGGCGGGCGGGGCGAGGTCGCTCGGTGCCGCCCACGCCGGATGCACAGCCGGCCCTCTCCGCGCCCACGCACCCACGTGAGCGCCCAGCCGGCGACATTCCTGCTCCCCCCGCCCCGCCAGCCCCTCCGAGCCGAGTTTCACAACCACGCACAGGTACACAAAGCCCGCGAAGCGCACCGACGCGCACACGCGCCGAAGCAACGCGGCGGGCCTGGCGCTGCCGTGCGTGTGGATGTCACCGGAGCCGGGCGAAGTTGGCGGCGACTCGGGGCGCGCGGCTCTCGTCGCGCCTGCGTCTGCCTGCCCCGGAGCGTGCGTCTGGGGCCGGAACCCGGGGGTGCCGCAGGTCTCTCTTGGCTGCCCGGCCCACCGCCACCCGCCCAGAAACCCCGGTCTCCCGCAGGGCCCCGTCCCCGTCTCCCCGGTCTCCCGCAGCCCGGTCCCTGGTCCACGCCGAAGTTTGGGGAGCAGGAATGGGCGGGTTACGCTGGAAACTGGCGCTGGGGCGCGCTGGTTTTCCCGCGCCCAGGTCAGGCCGGGAGGGGAGAGGGACCTTCCTCGACTCGCCACACCCAGTTTGCTGAGGATCAGGAGCGTCTGGTCCTGGGGACCTGGGTGGCGAAAGCGGGCTAAGGAGGTACCACTCCCGGGGACTCCGCCTGGAGTCAAGCGGGAAAACGGACCAGAGGCTGGGGGCGTCCCGGGATGTGGAGGGAGCGCTCCTTCGGGGAGCCTCGCCCCCCGCCCCCCTCCGCAACCTTCCTCCCTGCCTTGTTTCTCCTAGCCCCATCTGGTTCCCATTACACTCCCGCCCACGGCTGGGGGGAGGGCAGGCGGGGGCTCGAAGGGCCCGGCCCAGCGGCTCGGAGCCGAGAGGAAATGAAGGCGGGCGGGGGCGGGCGGAGGGGAGCGCGCGGACTGCCCGGAGCGCGGTTCCCGGGCGTCCGAAACCCCGGCCCGCCCTTCAGCCCGCACCGCTGAGTGGCCCGCGGCCGGCGCGGCGGGGGCGGCGGGGGCGGCGGCTGGTGCGACATTCCGGTGGGGCGGAGAGTCCTTTCGCTCCCCGCTGGGGGCTTGGGGGGCGGGGTGCGGTCGCGCCAGCTAAGATTTTCTTCTCCATTCCAGAAGCCCCACTGGGGTACGTGGGTGGTGGGGGTGGTGCTAGATGAGAGCCGGGCGCCACCCCCTCAGCCCCCATCCCCAGTCCAGCATCTGGAGGGCGCGAACACGAATTCCTTCCCCGGGCACTCGCGACCCCCATCGGCGGAGTGTGGGCGTCCCCGCCCCCCCACTCCCCTCTGGTTATTTTGGAGCCTGGGCTGCCAGCCGCTGGCCCCGGGTTTCCACGTGCCTCCTCCCTCTCCCGGCCCACGCGCCCCGTGACGCACATCCTCCGCCCACGCAGCCTCTGCTCGAGGCGCCCCCCTCCCTCCCACCAGGGCCCCCTTGGGGCTGCTCGGAGCCTGGGGATCGGGGTGGCGAGGGAGATGCAGACCCCGCCTGGAGGAGGGCAAAGAAGGGCGTGATGCAAGGGGGCGGTGATCCACTGGGCGTCTGGGTGTGGGTTCCGTAAGGAGGCTCCCCGGGCTTTGCACTTTGGTTCTGGGACGGGGCCGGGTCCTCCGCGGAAGAAGAAAGGGAGAGAAAAATCCCGGGGATTCGGACCTCCCCACTCCCTGGCAGGATGCCGGCAGGGTGCGAACTTGTTGTGCGCGAACTCCTGCGTGTTCACGCCTCTGTTTTTTTAGGGTGTTGTGAGGTTCAGACAGGAGAACGTCTCTGAAAACGGTCAGTTGTAAAACGCTAAGCACATCTAAGGTGCTGTTTACTGCCAGCGTGAGACTTTGTACCCTGAGGTTTATGTTTCTTTACATCCACTCGTGTCTCTCTCTAGGTTTGTCTGTGAGTCCCTATGCATGGATTTTTAAATCCATACGTTTAAAGAGTCTTTTGACTTGTCAAGCCCGCCGGAGGCCCGGAGCGCCTCCGCAGCCTGAGCTGCTGAGATGTCTGTTCTTCGCTTCCCTCCCACTCCTACCACCCCCAACTCCCCTCCTGCTCCCTTCCATGAGAACAAGGAATTTCCAGTCTTTAGCAAAAGGGGGGGGGGCCGAGAGGAAGGGAGGGAGAGAGAGGGTAGACAGATACAGAGACTAAGAGAGACAAACAGATGATGAGAAGCTGTCGAGAGACAGGTGTGTGGAGAGGCTGAAGAAATAGAGTGGGACAAATTCAGTTTGTCCCGCAAGCTTCAGTTCCTCTCTTCTCTGGTTTTCCTCTGTGTGGCTCAGAAGCCTTCCCCACCCGACTCACCTGTGCGACTCCCCAACCCGCTCCAACTCCTCAGTGTTCTCAGAGACACACAGAGCAGAGTAATAGATCTTGTTTAATCAGGGAATAATTTATTGTCTACACTGACTTCTTCCAGGAAGGGAAATAGTAACTTCAATCCCAATTTTCCAAGAAAAAGAAAAATGATTGTGGAGAAAGTAGGTGGAAGATGAGTGGGGGAAATTGGAAACCAGGATTGCCATTTCTAAGTTACCTAGGTTTTCAGGCCAAATCCAAAGCATCAAGCGTAGTGTGGCTCAAATGTCACCTCTTTCCTTTTCTTTCTGCGGCTCCTCCAGGTAAGATTCTTTTCTCCTGTGTTATGGGTATTGGATCTTGGTACACTCTTGCCTTTAAGAAACTCATCGAGTAGTGGGATAGACAGATAAATACAGATAGTTAACAAAGTAGCACAGTAAAAGAGGCACAAAGCTTGAGAGAAGCACGGGAATATCTGTTCTATCACTGGTGTAAAGAGGCAGCCGCCAGAGATGGTGATGCAGTCGAAGATTTTGAAGACTACATCAGAGATTTCCAGGAGTGGAGCTGGAGGGGTAGCACAGTGGGTAGGTTGTTTGCCTTGTAGGCGGTTGACCCGGTTTTGATCCCTGGCACCCCATATGGTCTCCTGATCCTACTAGGAGTGACTGCTGAGTATAAAACTGGGATTAAACCCTGAGTACTAACTAGTGTAGCCCTCTGCCTCCCAAAAATCCTCCCCCCCTCCCAGATTTCCAGGAGGAAGGGACAGTCAAGCCAGACAGAGCAGAAGATAAACTTGTATGGATGTATGAAATAGGAGAATAGGTATGCATCTTAACCCTGTACTGTCTCATTAGTCTCACAAGGAAGATTCTTAAACTGTGGATTTCAGAATCAGTTATAGGACCTCCATGGGGTCCTATAACTGAATGTGGATTCAGAAAAAAAAATTGACAACAGTAAAGATTTATGAATTTACAATGACCAAAAACTAATTTAAGATTACGAGTCCGAGGTTTTCCTGACAGTGTTTTCCATGTTGCATTTCATGGATGAGGAGGGATAGTGAGCAGAAAGAAGTTAAGAAACCCTGTTATGGGCCAGAGGGATAGTGCTGGGGTTAAGGGACTTGCCTTGCATACAGCCTACCTGGGTTTGGTCTTTACAGGCATGATCCCCCAAGCACAGAACTGGGGTTGTTGGGTATGGCTCATTCCCTGCGCCCCTCCCCCAACCACCTCTGTTATACACTAGTGCATTCAAACTAGAGCAAAGCAATGATTAAAAAACAAAACAAAACAAAAGCAGTTTCAGGGATCAGAGAAATAGTACATCCACAACTGGGTCCCTAACATCACATACAGCTCTCCAGCCTCACCAAAACAAAAAAAAGAAAAAAAAACTCAATCCATTTTTTACTTTCATAAAAGAACAAAATGTACTGTGGCAGAGGGATGGGGGCGGGGGTTCAACACCTCATGGTGCTCAGGGACCACAGCTGGTAGTGCTGGGATGACCCAGTTTTACAACTGCAGCCACATGCAAGGTAGTATCTCTCTGACTCATAAATGTGACTTTTTAATTTTCTTTTTGGGCCACTGGCATTACTCAGGGTGGCTCTTGGTGATGGCTGGGGATTGGACCTATCCTGTGTTCAAAACATATGCTCAGCCCATTGAGCTATCTCTCCAGCTCACTAAATGTGATTTATTAGAACCATGAAATAAAACTTCCATTTTAAGGGGCTGAAGCGGGTAGGGCATTTGCCTTGCACGCAGCCGACCTGGGTTCAATTCCCAGCATCCCATATGGTCCCCTGAGCACCGCTAGGAGTAATTCCTGAGTGCAGAGCCAGGAGTAACCCTTGTGCATCGCCAGGTGTGACCCAAAACCAAAAAGAAAAAAACAAAAAGAAATCTTCCATTTTAAAAAGATTCAGTAACAAAATTTTTTTTGAATTGATCTAAATATTTCTAAAGAGCGGTCTATCTTTTAGCTTTAGGGCCCACACGTGATAGTGCCCAATGGTTTTATTCCTGGCTCTGTGCTCAGAAATAATCCATTGTGGTGCTCCGGGGACCATTTATGGTGTTAGAGATTTCAGCCAGAGTTGGTGGAATGCAAGGCAAGCACCTTAACATCTGTATTGTCTTTTCAGCCCTAAAAGTTTTGAAATGCTTAAACTTAGTTTCTGAAATCATTCCAGTGCAGATTTGTAACAAACTTTGACTAGTTCTGTTGTGATTTACTTCTTTACTTTTATGATTTGTATTATATTGTAGAGTCTCAGTTTATCACAGAAGACTCTGAACTCTGTGAAACCACAAAACTTCACCAGTTATTTGACAGGGAATGGGATTAGATCGCATCATGAAATGGAGAGGAAAGGACAGTTTCAAAAGACAGTCCAAAAGTGTGATCAGTAAGATTTGATGCTTGGCCAAAGGGTTGAGGAAATAAGAGTTGAGTGTGAT